ACTTTCCCCTCCAGCCCAACAAACAACAGCTTCACGATGAAGCAGCTCCCAGACCGGGGAGGTTGTGGCACTCCAGAGAGCCCATTTGCTCCAGGCAGGCAGGAAGGGCCCAATCCTGGGGCAAACGCTCCCCTCCAACACCATCCCCTTCTCCTCCTCCAGTCCTTGTTTAAAAGCCACCAGCCACTACCTTTGAAAAGGTACTACCTTTACAAGGCAGACCCCGACGTGTGCAGGGGCTGGGCACCCGTGCAGCCGCGTGTTGGAGCCAGGGCACGGCACCCCGGTGCTGCCGGGCAGAGCGCCCTCCAGCTGGGGATGTTTCCAGAGTCACCCTTTTATATTAAATAATTGTTAAAGGACTTCAGTCCTTAATTTCTGAGTTGCCCCAGAATACATTTAAGGCTGGCACCTCATCTTTTGTTGCACAAAAGATGCCTGACTCAAATCGGGAGACCAGGAGAACCACCACCCCACACGTATTTCCATAAGGTATGGAGGGGGGGTGGGGGGGGGGGGGGGGAACCCATCGCACTTGTAAAACCCGCGTGTGGCAGCCCTGCTTTACACTTCGCGTGGGCAAAGAGCACGGCTCGCCTCACGCCCAGTGCTGGAGAGAATTGACCCAGCCTTGACTTCAGAGGGAGTCGGGAGAACAAACCCAGCACAGGCACCGTCAGGATGCAACCCCCCTGCCACCTCACACAGTGCCAGGTTTGTATTTCTATCGCTTTTGAGGCTCAGTCTTGGAAAAAACCCAGAGGCTCTGTTAGAGAAAAATAAAATAGAAACTTATTTTTTCTTTTCAGTTTTGAAGAACCGTTGTCCTTTCTTATTTCATTTCAATGATTCATTATATATTTCCTCCCCCACCTCTTATTTTCTGATCCTGACACTACTGCATACCTGATCACTGGAAACCAGAATTCATCTTTCACTAGGACATACAACCTCCTTCAGCACAGGAGATCCAAAATCTCCCCCACGAGTGTATGGGTGAGCGCACAGAGACCCTAGGCCTGCCAAATTTTCAGATTTTTCCAACAGTGGGAAAAATTTATTTGAACAAAGAACGGGATTTTCAAGAATAAGAAAACTTCCTGCAGACAAGGAGTGAAAAGTCACCTGACTCTTTGCCTGATGAAGCTGCAGCTGAGTCATTCTCTGTTCTCTGGCAAAGGCACAGAATTATTTATCAGAATTCTTAAAAAAGCAAAAAAAAAAGTATAATTTTATTTTTCTGACTAGTATAAGCTCAAAAATTAATTTAGCTTCTTGCATTCTAACATTTGTATTAGAATAATTTAAAAAGGTAATATTTTTTAATACCCTAAAATACATTAAAAAAGCAATACAGAAAAAACCCACCACAGAAGAGTCACCATTTTTTCTCCACAAATATACGTCTTCACGTATTTGTATAGAGTGCATAATTAAACACCCACACCAGGAAAAGAAAAGAGACTCTGGACTTTGCTCATATAAATACCAACAGTCCAAAAAAGCAGTTTAGCGTGGATTTTTCAACCTTTTGGTGATTGGCATTTTGTGTAAGAAGTAAAAATCTGCTTGTCATCTTGTATGTCCGTTCTGGAAAATAATTTTTCATGCTTATGTTAGGCGACAAGCAAAACCTACCTTACGCTGCAGCAAATTATGCAGGAAACCTGCTGGACTAGGTACTCTCAAACCATGTCAGCAAAAATTAACAATAAAGGAAAAGCCTCTTTCCCCAAATACGTCTACTAACTCCCTAAGCAAGTTAATCCTCATTCCTTTATAAGCTCAGACACATCTATCTGTACAACAACTTCCTTTAGGCATCCAGGAAAAAAAAAAAAAAAAGCAGGGAATGCAAGCAAAACAGTATTGCTGCTCTCTCTCCGCACGACTGGATGATGATGGCTGCTCACGTAAATACAGAATTCAGCAGACACCCGAAGGAGCCGTAGCAAAACACAGGGACAAAGGGCCTTCTTCAGCTTTAAAGCTCCGTCTGGCAGCATTTCTGCTGGAGATGTCAGCCGGGAGATCAGCACAGAGCCAGCAGGCAGCCTCTGCACCTGCAAACCCTCTGCTTGCAGGGAAACTGTGCCGCTTTATTTTCCAGCAGAAACTCTGCCCGACAGAGCTGGAGCTCTAGGACGGCAGCACGAGAGCAACCGGCAAATCAATTTTTCCAAGAATTATGTTGCTTACCTGCAACGCAACATCATTTAGCCCAGTCCCAAAGATTTTAATAGCATCCTTTCTTGGGTGGTATGGCTGCAAAAGCAGTGATGTCATGGGGAGGAAGCAGTAACAATCATGTGACTGCATCCTCCGTCTATAGGATATCTGACAGGAGACGGGGCCAGAGGGAGACGGACCAGTCTGTAATACCGCAGGATTAAACTGCAAGCCTCCTTACCCTGCCCTACCTATTCGGTCACCATTACAACATGTGCTGCTTTCCCCCCCCCTAACCTAAGCTAATTATTTTTAGAAGGGTTTTGTGGATTTTTTTTTTGCAACAGCAACAACGATCACATTTTTCACGAGGAAGAAGCATGGTAAGCATGCTGCGTGCAAACCAAGAAGTATTCCTGTTGACTCTGCAGCAACGCCCAGGTGTCATATCTTCTTTCATCTCTACAGAATACGTAATCACAGCAGCTCGGAAATGAGACAAACCACAATTTCACCATCCCTTGCATTTTTCCTTCTCCTGATGCTCCATTTCAAACTTATCCAGACCGACTTCCCTCCATCTTCTGTGTCATATTCAAGCTTTGCAAGCTTACCTCAAAGGTTTCATCCCTGTTACCTTCACTTCTTCGTTCTCCCCACCATCCCTCCCTTCCTCCCTCCCTCCTTCCCTCCCCTTGCAGCCTTCTGCCTTTTCTTCAATGCAACTGTCACTGCTTGAAAGATCCGCTCCTATATGCCAGCCTATTTTTCCTTTTCAAAACTTCTCCTTAAGTTTTCCCATCAAATATTTAAAAGCTGGAACATCGTAAAATATATATATATATAAGAAAAGGCAATTAGCCTGACTTTCACATTTTGGTTAACAGAGTATTACATCTCAGAACCGTATTTTGGCGGGGGGGGGGTGGGGGGGGGGGGGGGGGGTTGGGCTTTTTTTTGTTTTAAAGAATTTTATTATACTCTACAATGTTTTTGAGTTCTACAACAAAATAATAATTTCCAAAGTTCTGATCGTACAACCTTTGTACAAGCCACTAGGATGACATTCTGCAAGACAGAGGTTGTAACTGTTCTTTGTGAAGATCACGTACATGTTTGTACATGTGCAACGTGTTTTATTTCAGGACATTCACCTTACTGCTCATTTTCCCATATTTGAATATTGTGCAGACTGGTTTTACCCTGAAGGGTATCCAGGGACGTGCTTCCTATTACCAAGCAGATGCAACGGCTAGGTAGAGGGAGATCTTGCACAAGCACACATGAAAATATCCATGGGTGACTGAAGGCGCATGCGTGACTTCCACTCACTTCAAAGGCTAAGGAACGCAGTTCTGGAAGACCTTTTTGTCCCAGTGTGTTTGAGCAGGTGTTTATGGATGCGCTAAGCAGGCAGCCCGGCCCAGCAAAGCAAGCCAGTTGATACAGGGTGTACAAACCTTTTTTCAGAATGGCTACACAACTCCTCCAAACCTCGCATATACGCTGAAGAAAGTTCCTGTGCTCCTTATTTCCGATACGGACTCCCCATACAGAAGCCACAGATTTTGGATTTTATTACGAAATTTGAACACTTGGCTTGCTTCACCTGAAGTTCCCACACCTTTCTGGAGCGAGCAGCATGCCTTTAGAGAAGAGATTTGGTCATGCCCTTCATACACAGCACTGCAGATCACAGCGCTCTGTCATTCATAGCTCAGTAACAGCCCCAGGCCTACTATAACCACGCCAGTGAAGTGTCGAAAAGTGATAGAAGCCCTAACCTTCCTGCCAGCGTCTGCTCTTTGCGCCCATTAAAATCGGTATTAATAGGCCAATTCAATTCTGTGGAGGAAGTTAAACAAACACTGAGCACTTAATTTATTTTCTTGATAATGTTATCTGCAATTTTCCTTAATCAGTTTACGAGAGGGAAATACGGAAAACAGCAAGCAGCGTTTAGTTGGTCAGACACAAACACCTATACCTGGGAACTTCTGTGCCACAAGACACACTCTGTAACACAAACACGATGTCCTAGACACAGCACGGTAATTTTGTGCACCAACCAAATGAGCGCAGGGGTCTCAATCTCCCATTTTTTTCCTGAACAGATTTTCCTAAATTCAGTTCCTAATTTTCTCTTCTCTATTACCACAGCTGAACTCATCGAGTCTCTGCTGAACGTGTATTTTTAGTCAGACGGTCTGTCTGCAAGCAAGCTAAAAGGACAGAATACCTAATTCTTGATAGAAAATGTGATTCTATAACCTAGGTATGTATGTACAAATTTAAGAGATTAGAAATAAGAAGCCAGAAACAGCTCCTAAGAAGCTTTTAACTCCAAGAACACTGAGATTTTCCAAAGTGCAAGCAAATCACTTAATTGACATTTACAGATTCCAAAACCAAATCAGCTTTACTCTTTGGTATTTTCTTCCAACGATACTTAGTCAATTGAACGGTCTCAGGAAAAAGAAAATACTCTTCACATGATGTTTTGGAAAAGATTGTTCTTGCTTTTGCTAGCCTGCAGTTTCTCAAGTCTCTCTGTAAATACATTTTTCCTCCTCTCAAAGATCTATGACTCTACAGTTAAAGAGGAGAGTGGATGCAAAACAAGCTGTAAAGTGCCCTCTTCCCTAAAAATTCAAACTTCAGTTTTACATCCGCTGAAAACAAGATACGCAGTTCATCTAATTCCTATTGAAAAAAAATTTGCTCTTTTTATGCAGCACTTACCTTTAACTCTTGCAAAGTGCTTACAAGAACTGCAGCAAGAAACACATGTGAGACTTCATTCTTATAACAGAAAATCCGTACTGACATACCCATTATAGCTTTTGTTGTTGATCCTGATGGTAGCGAGACAGAGACGGTTGGTATTCCAAATGACTATTTCTAGCAGACCGTTTAAAAATAACCTAAACTCTGTCATACCCTTAACGCCTTGCAAACACTGGACAGAGACAGGAGTCATATGTCAGCACTATGATTTTGCCTGTGCTCCTGCAGCTTAGGGTTGCAGAGAGAAACTGAGAAACGGCCTTTCTGCAGTTATGCAGGTTTAACGTTTCCTTTGTGAAAGCAGCAGTAAAGTTCGGCCTAAAAAAGTTAGCTCGTACTCTTTCGAGTGGCTTTCACCTTGGAATCAGTTATAAGTAAGATATTACAGAACTAATAATGTCAACTTACTTCCAATACAAATCTACAAAGTACAAACTTCTGTTCAAAAAAAAAGGCAGTTCAACGTGTTGTAAGTGGAGCTACCCATGAATTCCGGGAATACTCAACTATGAGCCTCTGATACAGCTGTCGGCTTATCGTGAGCGATAAGCACGTGGGAGAACATACCTGCCATTCCTTACACTCTGCATCCCTTTCAGGTCTTCAGTGTAACCTCTCTAGGATCTCTGATTTCACAGATTTCCTCTCTTACTTTTCTTTGAAAACTCATTACATTCACCTAAACGACAGTGTTATTCAAAATACAAAATTTCTTTATGAAAGCATCGTGAACGTGGCAAATATAAACCATTCAACAAGTGTCTTCTACTTTGACATATAACAAAACTCTATTTCTGTTTATGGCAAATTATTTTATTTTGTAGAAGAAATACTTTCAAATAATACAAAAATGACACAATCATACAGAACTGTGACAAAAACAAGAGAGATGAATACTGAATACGATAACTCATTACCACATCAAGACAGAACTCATTACAGCAGTCAGAATCACAGGCCCACAAGATACGCCGATGACGTCTCACAGCGGTCACTGTTTAAAAACACCAACTGAACCCCCTGACAGAGAGGCCACCAGACATTGTCCCTTCGTTATACAGTCACAGAACAATTCAGGGTGGAAGGGAGGTCCCTACCCCAACCCCGGCTCAAATCGGGCCTAATGCGACCAGGATGCTCCGGGCTACGTCCAGTCAAGTCCTCAACCCCTCCATGGACAGAGAGCTCCACCTCTCTGGGCAACCTCTTCCACTCTCGGACCACCCTCATGGGAACACGGTGTCGTCTGTTCTTAGTATACAGCACGTACTTCTGCTGTCACTGCATGGTAGCTCTTGATAAACACTACTATGTAAGGGCCTCCGCTGAAAATGAGAGGCGAAATTCCGACTGACTGGTCTTTTCAAGTAATGAGCACTGAAAAGCTTGCCGTCCCTAGACTTTTACCCAAACACTAAAAGTTTCTTACGTTATTTGGTTTTCATCTGCATAGTTTCTGAACATGGCTAGTTGCGCCCAAGGAACCCAATATACACCCACCGAAGCTTACTGGCAAAAACAGATTTCAGGATGGTTAGCATGATAAATGCTAAATAGACTTTAATTTCACATATATTGCTATACGATCAAATCACTTGATGCCTGTAATGGTTATAGGCCATACTAGGAAACAGGGAATACTACCTTAAAATTAAATGTCTGCATTAATCGTCCTCACTGATTAATGATTTAGGTTTACAATCTTTTCTCCCCATTACTTTTTGCCTCAGCTTGGACAAGTAAAAGCAATTCAGTTTCACTTTCAGGTTTTCCTGATCTTTGACAAGGTAACAGAGTATAAGCTCTTGAAACTCACAAAGAACACTTACTTACTTAAAAATATTTTAAGATATTCTGATTGGTTCTGGTAAGTCCGTTTAGTTTTTGGCTTCTGTTGTTTTGATTTCCTGACATATGAAAATCTGAAACCAATTTGACCTTTACTTTCATTAAGAGACAGCATGATCTTCCTTCTAGGAGATTCCAGCAATTTGCAAAGACAGTCTTGTGTTGGGCACCTCTCTTTGTAGGTAACGTATAATTAGAAAAATATGAGAAACTCTATTATAGTAGCTTAGTAAAGAAGTATTTTTACATACTTGCAGGATGCAAGGACACAAAACTGGCATTCTCGGGAATTTAGGGTGACAGTCTTTCATTAAAACGAACGGTCACAAGTAAAATGATTTCTTAGCGGATTTTAGCTGGTCCAACTAGCAATCAAGTGAGCTACACCTTCCAGAATTATACACCTTCCTCCTGGAAAGTGTCACTGTTCAACAGAACTTGCATGCAGTAACCTCAAAGCACATCCTTTAGGATGAACGTGTGTTTAAGCACCCTTACTTAATGCAGCTGCTTTCCGAAATCAGCACATATGTACTTTCCTGAATCAGATCAGAATCTTCAGAACTGTAAAAATCGCTATAATACTCCTTTAGCGGTCTTTCCACACAGCTAGGTCACGTTGCTCTTTTAAGTCCCTTTTCATTAAACAGCAAAACAAAGACCTGTCACCCTTTTCCTTCCTCCGTTAAACTGAGAATCTAGTTAAGAATATAAAGATACTTCAGACACAACTGAAATGAAAACAATCTATTAGTGCACAGTAAGAACATGCAAATGAATTCTGCAATGTTTAACATCACTTCTAATCAGTGTTAAACACATTGCAGGTGATAATATTTTGCTATAACACAGACAGTGCTAAAGGATACAATGTACATAATATGCTACAGATAATAAAGCTGAAAAAAGTGACAATTGTAGAACATAGTATTTTCATTTCAGGTATCAGAAACAAAACCAGCTCAATGGTTCCATTCTACTGTATGACAAATACTGAAGAACAAAATTTCAGTCTTAAAATACATCTTAAAGTAGGTATTTTCCTTCAAGGAAAAAAGGAACTATAAATAAATTACACTACAGAGAATTTGCCTGAACTCACTTTGTTTCTGTCTTCCAGCCTTTAAGTCAAATAAAACAGCATAAAAACTGTACACGCTCTTAACAGGATAGTCGATCTTTTATAAAATAAGTTGTCTTCAGAGATGTCAGTTTCACAACAAGGAAAAACCAAGCCTTGTTGCAGTTGCTATTATAAAATATATATGTATATATATATTTATATATATGTTTTTGTTTAATTTTACTTTTTTTACTTTTTTTATTTTTTACAAAACGTGTATATTAGCTTTTGCACAAATTTTTTTTTAAAGAAACTTGGCTAATCTAATAACTTCATTAAAATAAAAGCGATAAATACTTCATGTTTACAATGCAACATGTCATACATCATCAGCTGGCAGAGGAGGTATGTTAATCCTTGGTCTTGTAAAAAAAGCTATCTTCTCTCTGTGATCAAAACAAGATAAAAAGGAAGTCAATCAAATATATGCCTAATTTTTTTTCCCCCGAGAACATGGTTTCTTTACTCTGGTTAGTCATTAGCATTTGTTACTTATATACTGAACTGATGGTTTATTTCAGTACAAGAAACTTACAAAAACTATTAAACCTCACTGTATACTTTTGGCAACATTCCGTTGAACACAATCACTATTTTTGAAAATTTAGGTGGAAGCTTTGTACAACTCATTGAACATCAGTCATAGTTGACCGCAAAAAGGTTTCACAGGACAAGCCCTGCATAAGCCCCTTCTGCAACACAAAGTTCACCCTTGTACATTTTGCAATAATGCCTACAAAAAAGGGAAAAAAAGACGGCATTCGGAGTTATCTTTTTGCTTCCTTATTGAGCAAACAGTACATGCTGTAAAGTAAGCGTCATAAGAAATGGATGTGTCCATAAAAAAGGCGAGAATTTAAACAAGGAAGACAGCTTTTGCTTCATTTTCTACATCTCATTTCATTCAATTCCCCATCTCTTTCTATCTCTCAGTAGACAAACCATAAAACTCCCCTCTCTCATCACCAGAAATCTAAGACGTAAAAACACCCCTAAAATTTCTATTCCTCTTACTTCCTCCTCACCTTTGTGGGAAAGACCTTCCCAATGTAATTTAAGCAAAAAAATTACATTAAAGGACAGACAGCTTTCATCTCATTTCATTCAATTCCCCATCTCTTTCTATCTCTCAGTAGACAAACCATAAAACTCCCCTCTCTCATCACCAGAAATCTAAGACGTAAAAACACCCCTAAAATTTCTATTCCTCTTACTTCCTCCTCACCTTTGTGGGAAAGACCTTCCCAATGTAATTTAAGCAAAAAAATTACATTAAAGGACAGACAGCTTTTCTATTTCACTTAAGTATTCTTTGAAAAAAAGTTCTAAAAATCTAAACACTGGATGAAATAGCATAATGTAACATTGTAGCTGAGCTGTCCTCCACATCTATGTCGCACGAACATTTTCTTACTCCTACCGTTACCCTGCCAATAAAAATTATAAAAATTTTAATGCTGAAGTAATAAAGTCTTCCTGTGAAATGCACACTGATTATCAATGCCACTTGTACACAAAATAAACTGTCAGAAAAAAAATAAAGCTAAGAGAGGACATGTACCATGTAAACACAGATGAAATAGGAAAAAAAGTCCAAAGAAAAGCCTTCTTGAGAGAAAGTTGGAATATTATTGAGTAATTTTTAGGGAGAGAGTGTTACTAGCAATGTATATGCATTACATTAAAGAAACTACTTATGCCCACAGGCTTGCATTGAAGAACTGACAAAATCATTTGAACTTAATAGTGACTAGACTAAGTTGAAAGAATCACCTAGGCTATGTTTGCACTTGAAGACTTTTTTTTTAATTTTATGTGTTTTAGAATTTTAACACTGTGATTTTACCTTAGCTTTGGCTTTTTGCACAACAAATAATTCAAAGGAAACTCATATGTCCAAATCAATCAAGTTAAAATACAGTTAAAAATTACTGGCTATATAGAAGACACACAGAATTTAAGCTATATGCTTCAGAGAGCTTTAACCTCTCTAATGAACTGTTGCTATGCTATTTCACTACACATTACCACTTACCTAAAAGTCTGCACCTGAATAGGCTCCTTCTGATTTTGCCCACGCAACTGGTATATTTCTTTTGATGCTTTCTTTAGCATCTTTTCAGCTGCTT